GGAGGGAGAGAGAGAGAGAGAGAGAGGGAGAGAGAAGGAGAAAGATGGAGGGAGGGAAAGGGAGAGAGAGAGAGGGGGAGAGGGAGAGAGACTGGCCCAAAGTCACCCGGCTAGTTCTTCATGTCTACAGCATGAACTAGAACTCACAATCGCTTGATTCCTTAACCACTAGGCTAAACTGGCTCTCATAAATTTATCTTTGTGATCTCCTTGTTCTCCCCCCCCCACTTTCACTGCAAACCTGCCCCATGGCTAGCATCTTCCCATGTGGGTGCAACCCCCCCCCCCCCGGGCCTCGATTTTCATCCCTGAGGATCATGCAGTTCCCCGTTTGCCACCTCCCTCAAGCTGCGCCTGCACCTTCCAGGCAGTGTCCAGCCCGAGAGCAGAGGGAGAGCCCAGCTCCTCCTAACAGCCACCATGCGGGGGGGAAAAAAGGAGGACAGGAGTGGGAAAGGAGTGGGGGGAGATTCTGGTTAGAAAGAGCAAAGGCCCAGCCAAGGCAAACCACAAAGATGGAGGTCACCTTTAAAGAGACAGCATCGTTCTCTCAATCCCAGGCCGACCAACGTTTTGGCGACCCGGATGGGACGGAGTGGAAACAGCCCCTCCCCACATCCCGGTGGGCTTCCCTTCCTGCAGGCTGAGAGCTAATGAGACCCCAACTGTCCCTTTAAGGGTGCCCTCTGCATTCACACACAGCCGCCCTTGGCCACCACAGGTTGGGAGGGGGGGGGGAGGAAGAAAGAGAGAGAGAGAGATAGAAAGAGAGAGCGCTAGAAGCTGGCAAGGAGGGAGGTGAGTGTTGCACAAGAGGAAGGAGGAGAAGAGGAGGAGGAGGAGGAGGAAGAAAGAGAACAAATTCCAGAGTGATGAACGCCTACCTTCTGGCAAACCTGAAAGACAGATTTCTAGAAGGGGAGGGGGTAAACAGGGGAGGGGGGAGGAAAAAAACACGGTGGTGGGTGGATGAGCAAGCGTGAAAGTGTGAAATGAACAAGCCGTGGGTCCCGGAATAGGCCCCGGAATAGGCCGGTGTCCCCATCTTCCCTCCCCAGATTGGAGGGGGAGGGGGTGAATTTGGGGAAAGGGAAGCCGCCCCCCCCCTTTTTCGTTCCTTCCATCCAAAGCAGGAAAATGAACAGTCTCCCTCTGCCCCAAAACTGGGACTGTCTGGGGCTGGGTGGGTGGGGGCTCCCCCAAAGCCCTGATCGCCTCTTGGAAGGTGAGAGGGAGTGAGGAAACCCAGGGTTGTTGGGGTCACCCCCCTCCTCTCTCCCACCCCATAGCCCCCTCTGGCTGGAGGCTGACTGGAAAAGGACCCGCAGAAGGACAGGGTGGGTTGGGGGGGGGCAGGAAGGAAGGTAAAACACACAGCAAAAGAAAAGGGGGGGGATGGAGACAGGAGGCGCTGGACTGCACAGAGTGACTCCCCCCCCCTTCCCAAACTCCCTCCCTCCCTCTTGGGGCCTTGCGAAGAAAAAGAAGCCAGGTTTACAAAACAGATCCACATACACACACTCGAAGGTTGCGGTTTGAGGCTTGCTAGGCTGCCCTGGCTGGACCCTCAAACAGGATCAGGGCCTGCCAGCCTGGGTTGCCCTCAGCCCTGCTTCCAAGGCCGGAGGGTGGAAAGTGGTGGGATTGGGAAGCTGGATGCCGCTGGGCTGAATCCCCCCCCCAAACCCGCAAAAGTCAAATCTAGACTGTGTGTGTTTCAACTGATTCCGGGCCTTCCGCCAATACCGAACAGGCGACCTCCGTGGGCGCTTTGAGAGGAGTGGACTTCAACTCCCAGAATTCCCCAGCGGGCAGAGCAGAGATCAGAACCAGCGGGAGAGAGCGGAGCGGGCAGGGGAATTCTGGGAGTTGAAGCCCACCCATCTTAAAAGCGCCCAAGGTTGAGAAGCCCTGGGCTGTCTTAGCTAATGTGACAGGTGGGCAGCTAGGACTGGGGTACCCCCAACCCCACATTTAAAGAGGGGTGGGGAACTTGGACAACTTCACTGCATGGCTGAGATCAGGGAACTAACTGCAGGCTTTGGGGCGATGGGAACGCCGAACTGCAGTTCCCCGGAAGAACCAAAGGCATCGGACAGCTGTTTGTCTAGATCAGGGGTCTTCAAACTTGGCCCTTTGATGACTTGTGGACTTCAACTCCCAGAATTCCTCAGCCAGGCATGCCTGGCTGAGGAATTCTGGGAGTTGAAGTCCACAAGTCATGAAAGGGCCACGTTGGAAGACCCCTGGTCTAAATGGAATAGGGTCTCCTGCCTGAGTAGGGGGGCTGGACTAGAAGACCTCCAAGGTCCCTTCCAGCTCTTAAATGCAGGGCCCTGTTCTCAAGAGCCATCCCACCCACCCAATCCTGGCCTCTGCAGTGGCAATTACGGCTAAGCCATCTTGAATGACGGCTTGTCACTCTCCAGCTGTTACTCCAAAGAAAATCTCCTGTTTTGGGGGGTGGGAGACGGGGGGGGGGAGATCCCTTGGCTGTTCTTGCATCCCAGGCCCACTTGGGGATGGGCTTGGCTGGCCTTCCAAGAGACCCCCTTCGTCAGGGAGAGCTTGTGCCCCCACCCCGTGGAGGTCTGGGGGGGGCATTTGAAAGCTGGGTGGCCCCCCCCCAAATAGCTTGGATTCCTGGCCCCACCGGGCCAATGTGATTCGAGTGTGGACAGACGGCAGACGATGGGCTGTGGGGTGCTGTGGCATCGTGGTGGGGGCTCTGGGAGGGAGGGAGGGGGGAGAGGGAGGGGCAGCAGGGTCCGACACACTCAAGAATCAGCCAGCATGCGCCCCTCGGAGCCACCGAATAGGGGGACAGAAACAGGGGAGGGCTGTCCCCCGTCTCACCCCCGTCCTGCCCTCCCCTCCGTGCAGTCACGCCACCCAGGATGGCACTGGGACCCTCCCCTACTTCGGTGCCCCCCTTTCCCCGGCTCACCTGCGTACGAACTTGGAGGTGAACTTGCTGAAGAGGCTCCCGGAAGCCCCCCTGCGTCCTTGGCTGTTGCCGGAAGGCGAGGCGGGCGTGAGGCCGTAGGAGAGGTTTTGCTGGTCCCGAACCGGCCGGAGCTGCCCGGCGTGGAAGGTGCTGCGGCTCTGGATGCCTCGGGGGAAGTTCGTGCGCTCGGGGAGGGCGCTGCTGATGTTGTGGGCGGAGGGGGAGGCCACGGGAGCCCGCTGGGGGGCCGTGCTGTGAGGGAGGAGGAGGAGAGGAAGGTCACCAGAGGGGGCCGGGCTGAGGGACCCTCCAGGCCCCTGCCCTGCCCTGTTGCCAAGGGGCGGGGGGGAGAAGCCACGTCCTCTTAAGAGTCTGAGGGCACCGATTTGAGGAAGGGAGCCCTGGAACCATGTTGCCCCCCACCAGACTTTGCGCTTTGACGCTCTTCGGAAAAGCCCACCGATTCAGGATAGACTTTCGCCAAGCCAGATTCCTGGCTTAAGGCGAGGTGAGAATCCGGGGCCCGTTTTCCCCAAGTCTGCTAGCAGGTAGGAATGAGCATCGGGGCAGAAGCGGAAGGCAGCCCTCGTGGCTGCCCCGCCGAAGAACGAGGGCTGCCTTCCGCAGCTGCTGTGTTCAAGGAAGGAGGGGAGATCCCCGAAAGATAATGGGGAACCCGCCCTTCTTTAGAAACATTCTGGGTCCCTTACGACTCTGCCTGAGGTTGCGAGGCACCCAGAACAGGGCCACAATCTGGGGGTCCCCCTTCCAGGTTTCAGGAGAGAGCCCCCAAACCTCTCAGTTGTTCTGCTCCGATCCCCTCTAGGCAGCCCCTGTGTGAGGGTCCTTGCTCTGGGGCCAGGCCAGAACAATCAAACTGAGAGGAAGCTGGAGAGAGCTGGAGGGCGGGAAGAAGGAAGGAAGGAAGGAAGGGAAGAAAGGAAGGAAGATTGGAGGGAGGGAGGGAGGGAGGAAGGAGAGAGATGGGAATGCGAAGGAAGGAATTAAGGAAGGAAGAAAGGGAGGAAGGAAGGAAAGAAGGATGGAATGAATTACAGAAGGAAGGAAGGAAAGAAGAAAAGAAGAAAAGGAAGAAGAGAGATGGGAATGCGAAGAATGAATGAATGAATGAATGAAGGAAGGAAGGAAGGAATGAAGGAAGACTCCAGGCACACGCAGCTGCCCACTTGCCTAGGTCGCTGGGCCTCGCAGTGATTATCGGTGGGGGGCAGGGTGGGCCTGGAGGGGTGCACCGAGGCTGACATGGATTTCTGGTGCTGGCGCGGGCGCGCGGAGCTCACGGCGGCGGAAGCGGAGGCGGTAGAGGCCCTGGAGCCCGGAGTGGTTAGGCTGGGGGGGGAGGCGGAGAAAAAAAAAATCAAGCCGGGGAGAAGCTGAAGTCCAAACCATGTAAAGGGTAGGGTTAAAAAAAAGGGGGGGGGAGGGAAACGGGGTGAAGCGGGCCGGTGGGTGATATCTGCAGCAGGCCCCCCCACCCCCCCAGACTCTCTGAGGATGCAGATGGTAGTCTTGGGGGGCTACGCCCAACTGCTCCTCTGCCCAGGCCCCAAAAGGCACCTTTGCCCCCCCC